AATTGATTTTATTTTTTAAATTTTGGAAGAGGGTTTCATTAAGTTGCTTAGGGCCTCGCTAAGTTGCTGAGGCTAGCCTCAACCTTGTAATCCTCCTGCCTCGGCCCCCCGAATTCCTGGGATTACAGGCATGTGCAACCATGCCCAGCTACCTGGAGCATCTTGTAGGGCCAGAAAGTAGGATATCATGGGGCTGGAATTGTGACTTAGCAGAACACTTGCCTAGCATGTGTGAGGCCCTGGGTTCGATCTTCAGCACCAAATAAAAATAAATAAAGATGTTGTGTCCAACTATAACTAAAAAATAAAAATAAAAAAAAATGTTGTTGCCTGGGCACCTCTGACTCAATAAGCCTCACTTCAAATGCTGCTCCCCTTGATTCTGACCCTCTTGTGGTCCCTTAAGAAATGGCCTCCCAAACATCTTATTCCAGCTGAAAGACTACTTCTGTCTTGGAGAGGCCTCTTTATCTGGGCCCTTCACTCATGCTGCCATTTCCTTGTATTATCCTGATCACACATTCCTGGGGCTCAGGTACTGTCCTAAGCTTCCTATATAAGGGGCCAGTGTTGGGTCTCCTGGTATTGGGCAGGGGGCAGTGACACCATTTTGGGATGGACATTTGTCTCAGAGGGCACAGTGCCTGAAATGTGGGGTCCCCAGTTACTATGGCCACCTCCTTATCTTCTCTCACTGCCAGGTCCACCATATAGTGGCTTTCTTCATCCAGCATTGCCAACAACCTCATTACTAATTCCGGAGGAGTCTCCATTCTATCCTTGCTTCACATCTTGGCAGCACTAGATGGCCTCCCCTAAGCCCACTCCAGCTGTCTCTGTCTTCCTGTGTTGGAGGTATACTCCTCTGCCTCCTCTCTAGTTGAAATTTCTCAGCTGGGTGCAAAGGCACAGGCCTGTAATTCCAGGGACTAGGGAGGCCGAGGCCAGAGGATTGCAAGTTAGAGGCCTTCAGCAACTTAGTGATACTCTGCATCAAAATAAAAATAAAAAGGGATAGGGAGTAGCTCAGTGGTAATGTGCCCTGAGTTCAATCCCCAGTACCAAAATCAACAAAAAGAAGTTCCTTGAATCTCCCCTTTTCATGCCAGTATCTCTGGAAAACCATTTCACCCATTCTAATAGCTTCTAGGACTTCCCGTCTATAGATAATTCCTGGGCAAAGCAGCATGTTTACATAGGCTTGAAGATCAGACCAGGCCTGGGTTCAAGTGGCTCCTCCACTTCCCAGTATTTGGTAGTCAGGTTAAGTTGAAATGAGCTATGAACTCTGCATAGTAAAGGCTTAGAACAATTCAGTGATTGACCTTCAAAGGGTATCTTCTTCGTTTCTCGGGTCCTGTCTTCTATCAGCAAAACTCTCAGCACATACCCTGAGGTACCCCTTACTCCTTAGTCCCCATGTCCAACCCCATCTCCCCTGAGTTCCTGACCTCTATATGTCTGACCACCCAGCAGATGGTGCCCACAGTCTTTCAAGGAAACAACACAACATTGAACCTTTCCCAGACCTGTGCTCTTACCCAGGCTCCCAGTTTTGTAACTGTCCCACAGCCTCTCACAGGCTTGAGTGTGATGCCTAAGGGACCCTCCATTTAGAACCCTCAGTGCACAGATAGCCACTTGGCAAAACCCCCAACTATACCATCCAAATATATCAGGAACATTTCCTTCTCATCTCTGGCTGAAGGGAACCACCAACCACCATGCTCCAGCCTCTGGCACCCAGAGCTGAGAAGCACTGGCATAAGGAAATCAATAACCATGTCAAGGTTTGTCTCTTTGCCTATAAAATGGGGACAATGAATCCTTGTCTAAAGTTTAAATATCTTTGAAAACATGCAGTATAGGGCACAGCAAGTTGCAAATCTCAGAAAATACTCTTGCTGTCTGAACCTCCCTCTAGCCCTCCTTCACTCCCACCAAATAGTTCTGATCTTTCTGATACACACATCCCCTGTAGTGGACAGTTGTTATTTGCAGCTACCAATCAGGAAACCTGTTTAGCTCTCCTCCAGGAAGCCCATGTATACAGAGACGAGACCACATACACAGCTCCAGGGAGCTGGCCACCACCCTCCACCCTGGCCAGAATAATTGGATGCAAGACGCAGTCCTGACCAATAACAATAGCATTTATTTGTTGGGGACATCTGAGACAGAAGCTAATCTACAGAGAGAAGGTGCTCCTCACCAGCAGTGAACAAAGAGTTCCACCGAAGTTGCAGGCAGCCACCTTTTGATCCCCAGAGGTGCTGGCCTGGGATAAAGCAGATAGTGGAGGATGCACAGGGAGGCAGAGAGAAAGTAGATATCTGGTCAACTTCTTCCTCCACTGCCAGGACCCTGGACTTTTTAGTTTCCTAAGCCATTAAGTTTCCTTTATTGTTAAAACAATTATTGGAAACCAAAACCAGCCTAGCTAATAGAGTTCCTTTTGGATAAAAGTCTCACATGCACCTTTAGTGTGAATTTTCAAAATACATTCCCTGACTCAAAATAAATGAGAGTATTATAAGTTTATCATGTAAGCCGGCAGACCACAGATGTTCCTAAGCAGATACCTGCTATGTGATGTCTCCAGCTCTCAGGAAGGGCCAGAGGCCACTGTCTGTTCTTTGATCTCAGGCCTCTGTTCATCTTTCCAGTATGGGGATCCAGTGTTCACCCCATAAGGACCAGGCAGCAGGGCCTATGGCAGGGAAGGCAGGTCCAGCCTTGACCACATGGAGAAGGTTAAAGTGGAAGAACCGAATACATACGGCTGCCTTCCGATCTCTACCACCCCTGGGGGCCTCCTCCAAGGAGAAGGTAGGTACTTACATGACCTCTAGCACCATGCACAGTGCAGGATGAAAGAGGAACCACTGCTACTGAGTCCATACTTCTGGCTCTCTCCAGCACCCTGAGGTTTCTTCTCAGGCAATGAGGTGTGTGCAAAGTGTAAGCCCCTGTATACAGGTAGCATGGGAAGCATCGTCTTCATACTGTGGGCAAGCACTAGGTGCAGAGACCGAGATGGAGTCCAAGCTGTGACACTGTCTTGCTAAGTGACCTGTCTGCCCTATGGGCGAGAACTACTCATCTCCAGGAGGAGACAAGCAGATAGGGTGCCCCAGAGAAGAGCTGTGTCACCAAGGGCATGCCATCTCTGGCCCATGCTTGGCTATAGCTTCACTTTTGGCTTCGGTTTGTTTATTGAATAGAAGGTGGAAGATCATTGTAAGGACTCTCCACCCTGGGCTGGGGTAAGGAGGAAGGAAATTGGTTCAGGTCTGCACAGACTCAATGGTCAGGGACCAAAGTAGCACAGAAACTCGTTTCAAGTCATGCCACAGAGGTGGGGTGACTTTCTGACTCCCAGGTTCCTGCTTTTCCTTTATCAAGAGCACACTGGCTGCAGCAGCTGAGGAGGCCCAGGGCTGGTTGTCACTTGCCCTCCTGTGGATATTTGTTTAGGGCTGTGCCACACTCCACAGAGGTCAGGTGACAAGACTGGGCAGCAGGGGCCAACTGCTTACCCTTTCAGGCTTGGGAGCATATCACTCAAGGGCTTATTCTCAGTGGGCTAAATGTGAAATGCTAAAGCCCATTCCTCCTTCTCACACTGAGGCACTTCTACAAGCTGGCTGGACTCAGATTTGGGCTCTCCCATGTCATTGCTAGGTGCCTCCACCGTGCTGTCTCAGTTCTATTACAGGGGTGGTAGAGAACCCTGGTCAAGTGCTTTGAGTAGTGCCTAGCACCTAGCAAGAGCCTGGTACATACCAGCCGCTATTATTATTGTTATTATGAGCCAAACTGCAACAGGAGAATACATTTAATGCAACATGCAGCTGTGGCCTAGCCTCGGGCTCCTTCCCATAATCCAAGAATGCTACTTGGAGAAACCCTTCTCCATAGCCTCAGTCACTTCAGGATGCAGGAAGCGGCTGGCCAAGCGTTCGATGTCATCCAGTGTCAGGCGGCTCAGGGACCTGTCATAATCCTGAGGAGAGAAGGCCAAGAGGATTCAGGCAGTGCCAGTGGGGAGGGATATGCTGTGACAGTCAGGGGCTGGGACTAGTTGGGACTAGATGTCCCCTCTCACCCTCTGCAGTTGTTCTAATACCCTGCTAGCATCTGCTACACTGAAGTGGCGGGCCAGGACTTTGGAGATCAGCTGCCAGACAGGAGGAGATGCGGAGTCGGCCAGTCTCCGGGCGGCGCCTTCTTCAAGTAACACCTTCTCCAGAGGTTTAACCACTAGGTTGAGCTTGGAATTGGGCCCAATGCTGTAATCTGACAGTCGTTTCCCATCTGCCAAAAAGAGATTGGTGGGGTTCCTTACCCACAGCCATGGAAGTGGCCCCGGAAATGATACCGCCTCAAGCAGTCAGAGCGGAGCGCTGCGGCATCTGGCTATGGTGCGTACAGATTCCCTCGGCGCGAGAGCCAGCGCCGAGATCCACCACGCTGCCGCTGCCGGAGTTAGCCTCTACACCCCATCCCCCGACTTCCTGCGGGGCTCCCTGGGTGTATCCACTCCCTGTTACCTGCTAGGGCCTTGCCCTTGAACAACAGTCGCTGCTGGCGCACTGGGACGTTCAGCTTTTCGGAGACCAGTTGCTTCAGTGTGGACACCAGCTCGTCCTCCGGCACCTGACCGGGCCGAGGGTGGGAGGCAGGGGTTGAGCCCGCGACCCCTGAGCGACAAAAGCCTCGCGTCCCCTCCAGAGGGCAATTCTCCCGGCCTCCCTGGTCCGGCCGCCCCGTTCCCGTCCTCGGGCCCTGCCCGTCCCTGTGCCAGGAGGCTGTGACTGCGCAAGCCGGGGAAGGTGGTTCGGGCCTGGTGACCCTACCTGCAGGCTGCACTCACGGCCCTGGAGCGCCTTCACCGTCAGCTGCATGGCGGCCGCGGAGGCGTCCACTAGGGCCAGCGCGCACCCCAACGGCCCCCAGTCGCGCGCTGCCGCCCAGGGCGCGCGCCGGAACCGCCCGCCGCCGCCGGAAGCCGTGAGAGGGGCACGCCCGTGCGCTTTGCCCACGCCCCTAGGTTCCGCCCCCGCCCCGCCCCTCGAAGAGGAGTTAGCTGCCGTGGGGCGCAGACTCGCAAAGACCCTGGGACCTCCCAGGCTGACGGGTCCTTTCGCTGCAACTGTGCAGGGAGTTGGCGCGTCCACCCCGCCAGGATTGGGAGGAGGTACGAGCTGGGACTTGGGAGAAGAAATGACCAGGAAATCCAGTCGCCTGTACCGGTGACCCAGTCCCCTCTAAATTCCCAGTCTGCTAGTGGGGCAGGTCAGTACAACCCCAGATTGTGTCTCTCAGTAACACAACAGGCCCAGTCCTGCCAAGCTGACCATAGTGCCTTACGTTCTTCTGCCTCCTTTCTAGTTTGGCTGCAGAAACCCGACTGAGCTTGAGAGCACCTAGGGAAGCCATGCCTCTGGTTCCATCTGCCCACCCTTCATCCAGAACCAAGAGGCCACCTCACTCAGTGAGGGGCTAAATGGCAAGAACTGATAGAGAAAGCCAGGGCAGAGGTCACCGTGCCACTCAAGCTCACCCTTACCCTGGCCCACACTTACCCACACACACTTTTCCTTCCCCCACCTCCAGGTCCCAAGGGGCAAAAACTGGAAGGGACCCGAGCTTGCTTCTCTCTTTTATTGAAATATATTTTCTGGGCACTGCCCACCTACCTAATTCAGCATGGCCTCTTTGGCACTGAAAGCTGGAGAATAAAAAACCAGTAAAAAAAATAAGCTTGGATTTGTCTGAGTGCATAGTGCATGAGAACTAAAGGCCTTTGGTACACAAGAACTGTGGGGACAAGGGATGGAGTGTGGTGGTTGGGCGATAAAAGCTTGACCCAGGTGCCTCATGGAACTGGGAACAGGTTGCTATAGATAAAGTGGCCAATGACCAAGGCCAACATCTCCGAGGTACCACTCAGGGCCACAATGAAGGGGGCCTGGGAGGCATAGTCTGCTTGAAGGCGGCGAAGGGACAGCTGTAGCATGGCCAAAGCCAGTAGGCTGTTTTGCACCCCTACCTCAATGCTGACCGTCCGCCGCTGGGCCACTGGCAGCTTTAGGCACGTGGCCAGGCAGTAGCCCACCAAGAGGCCAACCAGGGGCACAGTGAGGCCCACCAGTACAATGGGTAGCCTGACTCCTGCCAGGATGAATACCCCCATGCGGTAAGCCAGGAAGAGGCCACCCAGGATGAGCACAAAGCTGAAGGGCTTGATGACCTGAAGCAGCAGCTGAGAGAACTTGGGGAGCTTGGACTTGATCACCACTCCTGCTGCAATAGGGATGGCAATGAATAGCAGGGTCCCCAGGATCTTGGAGATGGGCACATGGAGAGTTTCATGGATGCTGAGAAGATAGCTGTAGAGGGCTGAGGACAGTGGCAGGAAACCAGTGGCAGCTACAGTTGAGATGAAAGTCATGGAGATGGCCAGGGTGACGTCCCCTCCAAGAAGGAGGCTAAAGAGGTAGCTCCCCCCACCTCCAGGTGATGAGCAGGTAATGATGAGGCCCAAAGCCAGGGCCTTGGGCAACATGAAGACTTTGGCCATCAGAAAAGCATACAAGGGCATGACCAGAAACTGGCCCAAGAGGCCCAAAAGCATGGGCTGGGGGCTCTGCAGGAGCCCCTTCAGAACCTCAAGTTCCACTTTACAACCAAATGAACACTTGTTGACAAAGATAAGAGGCAAGAGCATGTAGAGTATTGGGTTCTCCGAGAAGTGGACCAGGCTGGTGCTGAGGGTAGCAGGGGTATCTTCAGTAGGTGACACCTTGATGCAGAAATCTCTCCGCTCCTCAATCAGCATGGGTGAGGCCTCATGAGGTTCCACGAGCTGGATATGGAGTGGAGCCAGTCCAGCCAGACCTGAGTGGATGCTTACAACAAAGCCACCCCCACCACCCCAGGTTATGGCACTCACATTCTTGATGGTCAGCACCTCTGTGTCGAGGGATGTGACCTTCAGTGTGGGGCCAGGCCCTGTTCCATTTGCCTGGCCTGGGTATTGGCTTGAGATCACAATGATGCCCTCACTCTCCTCAGGAAACTCAAACTCCATCACAGAGCCATCTCCAATGCTCAAGTAACGACCCTCTGTCAATGGCACAGTGTGGCCCAGAGCAGTGCTGAGGTTGGCACTGGCCATCCCTTGGGTCCCCCATGGTAAGCTGATGAGCAGCAGGGCAGCTCTGAGCATGCCTAGGTGGCCTGTGCAACCACACTCCCCTCTCAGGCCAGGCCACTGCTGAGAGCTGCCCCTACCCCTCCTGAACATCATGGCTCTTCCAGAAGGTGTGCCCAGGTCTCCTGCAGCTTAGGAAAGCACCACGGCTGTTGGGTTGTCCTGAAAAAGGTCCATCAGTAGGTCCTGGTCTTGTGCTGCTTTCCTGATGGCAGGGCTCTCTCTGAGAAGGGAAGGGATACAGAGAGGTGGCTGGTGAAGGTGAGCAGATATAAGCCCAGGAGTATGGGTTTCTGGAAGTCCACTGCTGGAAGACTCAGCAGGACCCCTAATCCCAAGCTCAGGAATAGAAAGGCAATGCCTACTGCTTGTTGTTGAGTGCTATTTGGCTTTCCCCTCCTCCAGCACAGCTGCCTCAAGCTTCCCATTCCTCATACAGAGGTGCCACCTAGAGAGAGGAGTTCCCATTCACCTGCTGATACCTGCTGATTTCCTTGGGTTTGTCCACCTTAGTGACCTTGCAGAGATGTCCTGATACCAAGAGATTCAGGACAGCCACTTCCAGTCCTGTCACCATTAGCCTGCTCAACACTGGTTTCAAGATGCAGATATAAGCTGGGTGCAGTGGCACACACCTGTAATCCCAGTGGCTCAGGAAGCTGAGGCAAGAGGATCCCAAGTTCAAAGCCAGCCTCAGCAACTTAATGAGACTCCATCTCCAAAAAAAAAAAAAAAAAGCTGGAGATGTGGCTCACTGGTTAAGTGCCTCTGGGTTCAATCTCTGATACAAAAAAACATTGCAGATAAAGCAAGGCTTTTGTGATACCACAGTGAGGATGAAATCTTTGAAAACCACCTGGGGGGCGGAGGTGAAAAGGAGACAAGATGGATGAGAACAAAGGGGAATGATGGGAAACACTGTCTTGGTACAGATCTGGGAGAGTAGGTTGGGGAATATGAGTGTCATTTGCCAGGTACAAAATGGTGGTAAAGTGATGTGGGCAGTGGGTGACCACTGTACCAAAGGTCTGAGGGGCTGATATCTGCCACTGACATGCAGTTAGAAAATTGTTGCTGTCGCTACCTGGTTTGCTGTACCTGCCCTATAGTAATGAGAGAGGGATCTTGGTAGGAAGCAGTTTCCCTGATTCCAGGGAAGTTGCCAGAAGGGGTAGCAGGAATGGGTCACATAGAAGCACATGTCCACTGGGAGGGACTGGGAGGGACCTCTCCTTCTGTAAGAGCTCCCACTTCTCTGACAGTCCCAGAATTTGAGCTTCTAAAACTGCTGAATTACATATGATCTGCTGTGCTCAGAGTACTGGGCCTCCCCCAAAACTCCACCAGAGCCTGAAATTCCTAGTGGGGCTTAAGTGTTTCCAGAGGGTGGGGTACCTCAGAGTGAAAGGAGGAGGTCTGCCTCCCTCCTCTTTTTAATTTGGGCAGTCACCCCAGTAGTATCACATCATCTGCTAGAACTGGGGCAACCAGGATGGGCACACGGTGTTTATAATTCACAGCAGTCCATTTCTTTGTCCCTGTAGTGTCTCAGAGTCCACCACCTCTCTGGATCCTAGTTAGTCTTTGGCTCTGCCCCCACTCCCATCTGAAACTGAGGAGAGGGTAAGGTGGGAGTGGAGGGAGGTTCAGCAAAAGGTTTTTCCCTGGGAAAGTCTCCCCTCCCCCGCCACAGGATGACATGGCCCTTGCTGGCTTGGAGTTTAGGTCACTTACCCTGGAGGCCTTGGTCCAACCTTGTGTTTCACTGCTGGGGGTGCCAGGCAGGAAAACCAGCAAAGGGTAGGAGAAGTCAAGTGGAGGGAAAAATATGCAGGCACCAGGGTAATATAAACCATTTCAAAGCAATAGGCTAAGGGCCATTCACCTCCCATTCCATCGCTTCAGCAGGGCTGGCCGCCTTGAGTCACTGCAAGAGGAGTTTGGCCCCAATCCACAGGGTTTCTGCTTGAGGGGCTGGAAGAGTTTGAACAGACGCACCCCAAGGCAGGGAAGGCAATGCCAGCCCTGATGCTTCTTCCACAGCGGTGGAGTGTTTGGGGGTGAGGGTAATTGACAGTGCTGACCTGGGCTCCTCCCCACCTGTGAGTCTAGAAGTTGTCAGGTGAAGCACCAGCAGAGCTCGAGTGAAAACCGGGGGTGGAAGCGGGCAGAAAGAAGGACGTACAACCCGTTGGGCACTCTCAGGTCAGGGGCCTTCACGTCACTCCTGGGCCCCGCCAGGCCTCGCCAATGTGCGGTGGCCTTTCCCTGCTGGGTCTGGTCGGGCCGGGGTGGCGCGTGGCCGATCGCGGAGCGCTGACGGGCCAGAGTCTGCCTCCCGCCTATCTTTACCCAGCCAAAAGCTCTCACCTGCCGCGGTAGCTGCAAAGCTCAACACCAGCGCCTGCCGGGGCGGCGGACGCCCGCGAGCTCGGCCCGCCAGGGCCCCGCCCCGCCCACCAAGGGCTCCGCCCCACCCCGCCCCACCAAGGCTCCGCCTGCGCGTCAGATCTCCGCCCTCCCTCAGCGGTCCGCTCACCTCTGGCGACCATAACAGGTTCCAACCGGATGTGACGTTTATGAGAGCGACGAGCCGTCAAGGGAGCAGTGGACTGACTGCTTCCTGAGTTACACCTGATTGTAACCGGGCACAGTGAATTACAGCTTTCTGTGGTCATCGACGCCGGTGTGACTCATTTTAGTACTACTAAGGTCCGGTGGCTTTACAGAAAAGGAATAAAAAGAGATGGACATGGTGGCGCAAGCCTCTGATCCTGGTGGCTCGGGAGGCTGAGGCAGGAGGATCATGAGTTCAAAGCCAGCCTCAGTAACTTAACAAGGCCTTGTCCCTCAATAAAATGTAAAAAGGGCTAGGGATGTGGCTCAGTGGTTAAGCACCCCTGGGTTCAATCTCCAGTGTTAGATAAAAAAATGGAGCGGGGAGGTTGTATGTTTACAAACTTTGCTGGGACAACAAAAAATCAGTCTGCATTGTTCCAAAATTAACCTTTTTGGGCTGGGTGTGCATCACAATGGTAGAGCGTTTGCCTAGTATGTATGAGGTCCTGGATTCCATCTCCAGTACCTCAGAAATAAATAAGTAAAAAAATAATAAAACGAACTTTTGTCATGGCTGTGATGGAGGCAGTGGTGCCTAAAGTACTTGCTCCTTGGAGGTGCAAAGTGTTGTAGTACCTTTTTTTCAAATAAACATGATTTTAAATTCATTTGTGTGGAAATTTATTTTAAAATGTATTCGGGGTTAGAAATGTAGCTCAGTGGTAGAACACTTGCTTAGCCTGTCAGGCTCAGTTTGGATTCCCAGCACTGTAAAAAAGAATGTTGTATAGTTTAATATGTGTATATGACATATAAGCAAATGTTCAAATGTTGGGCATGCATGCTTAAAGGGCTTTGATATATAAGCCATTAAAAACATTTGCAGCTGTAACTCCAGGCTGTTCTTTAACCATAGAGAACCAATAAGTACACCACTTCTGTGCATGTACTTGGCATCCTGGAACATTCATACTATCCTTCTCAAATGGTACTGTGGCGGCGGTGAGGGGGAGATTCCTGACAGAAACAGGTGGTACTTGGAACTAGGATACCGTGAGATGGCTAGGCTGGATCAAGGATATCTAGTTCCAAAAGAGAAGTCATCTGGACTGAGGGACCGCTACAACAAATGATAACAACAACCAGAACAAAATGAATGTACTTAAGATGGGAGACGCACCACTGTATTGTATTAAAGGGCCACAGTGCTGACTCTGAGAGGCAAGCTTAGCTCCTACTCTCCAGGTACGGGCCTCCAGAAATATTTTGTGATAAGTAAGCATGCATGGAGGGCATATACAAGCATATATAAAAGTATATGACACAGGGATGTATGGTGACAGCTGTTGTTTTTGCCTATCTAGCATAAAGTCATAGAACATATGTTTTCTCTGAAAGAACCATCCATTCTCCGCTTTCAGTTCAGTACACATGGTTTCAATGTGATAATCCCAACACTGGCTCCTGGGGCAGGCACATGCCCAGATGTAGCCAATTAAAACCACTCATTTTTGTGGCAGAATAAGCCCATAATCCAATCTAGACTAAGGAGTTAGTCCCTAGGTACTTGTACTGAAACTACTGGGAAGGTGGGAGGTTTTGTTTGCTAGTGTTACTACACTGGCACCTTTACTATTTTCCTCCTTCCCACTACCTGGGAAGACAGTATATTGGAAAAATGAAGCAAACACAGAAAAGCAGAGCCAAGGAATGGAAAGAACCCATGTCCTAGTGACATTATTGGAGCTAGAAGCACCCAGGGGTTTTGGGGCCCATTAAAGGAACAATAAATACCATCCTTCTTTTTTTCCCATACATCAGTTTTAGTTTGGATTCTGGCACTTGTAACTGAATATGTCTGAACTGCTAAAGGGTTGACCTTGTGTAGGAGGAGCATGATATCCTGGCAAAAGACTGCAGGAAACTCATCCAGACTCTGCTCCCCACCATCAGCTTCCTGGCCCATGTTGGGCCAACTGGGGAATAAAGTGGGCCTGCTGTTTACATCTGTTACATGGGCAACACCCCAGTGGGGCACAGCCTCAAGGAAGAAGGAACCATCACTCTGGCTCTCTCACGTGTTCCTACTCTGCAGCACAGTGGTTGGTCCTACATAGGCACTTCGTGAATGTTTGGTGAACAAATGGACAAATGGAGGAAAATTGGACAATCACAGCACATTGGGAGGCATAGTGAGGTCTGTACACTTCCCAGCCTTACACTGAGTACCCTCAGTGAGGTTCCATTTCATCTTGGGCAAGCTACTAACCTGTGGAACTGTATACACCTAGCTTCTAACCTCTAGGCTCCATTGTAACTCTTTAAGCTCACAGGGTCCTTTACTTTTTTCTGTACAGTGGGGATAATGGCCAAATTTTGTAGGGTTTGCTTCAACATATAGGGAGTACAGGTGTGCAGATGAGACATTAGCCATGTATTGATCACTATAGAAGCCTGGTAAAGGGTACATTGGAGTTGATCATATTATTCTCTCTATTTTTGGAGATGTTTGAAATTTTCCATAGTAAGATATTTAAGAAATGAGCCAGGCATGGTGGACATGGCTGTAATCCCAGTGACTTGGGAGGATGAGGCAATAGGATCGCAAGTTATTAGAGGCCAGCCACAGTGATTTAGGAAGACTCTGTCTCAGAGTAAAAGATAAAAGGGCTAGGATGTAGCTCAGTAGTAAAGCACCCTGAGTTCAATCCCCAGACTGCATTTTTTTTTCTAGAAATAAATACACCTTTGATACTATAGTGGTGGGTACATGTCATTACACAATTTTGTCAAAACTCAGAATGTACAATGCCAAGAGTGGACCCTAATGTAAACCAATGTAGATTCATTGATTTTAACAAATGGAGGATGAGGGGAGACACTATATTTTTTGCTTAGTTTTGCTGTGAACATAAAATAGCTCTAAAATGTTTCCTAGAAAAAGGGAATACACTATTATGAGCTTGGCACAGGCTCAGGGCTGGGCATTGGCTGCTACGAACATCATCTACATGCAGGCTGAGCTGTCCTCATTTCTCTGGTTTGATCTTTGCAGTTCTGGCATAAAAACTACTTTCTTCCTGGTGGGCCTTTTTTCCTGGGCACTCCCATGCCTCTAACTTGATATCTATCTGCCCTTGACTTTAATTCTGAAGGTTTGCTTTGCACTCACTTCCCTGGGTCTGGAAGTACTTAATACCTAGGAGTTGAAGGCTCAGAAAGCCTGTCTGCACAGCAGGATTCTAAGTCCATCACCCCCTAACACAGATACTTCAAGAATGCCTGACTGTCTTTTCAAATTACCACAATGCCCTGATTCCTCCCATCTGAGAAGTCCAAGCCACCCTTTCTTGTTTTTTTGGAACTCAGAGTGCTTCTATACCCCTTATTTGGTATGTCAGCACCTCGACTGGTTTTAGTTATTTTACTTGTCCCTACAGGTATGTTGTGGGTGGGAGGAAGTTGGTGAGTTTCCTTGGGTCCCAGAAGACAGAACCATGTCTCCAGTTAAGGCTATGGGTGACACCAACTGGGGAACTACTCTGCTTACCCCTTGAGTCACATCTTAGCCACTGGGGGGGGGGAAGTCAATGGAAGGGGCCCTATAGAGAAAGGCTGTCTACTAAGGCTGTGGGGACAGGTTGGCTGAGTCTCTAGGACTTATCCCCTCCATGCACATAACACCACCCCTGACTCTCCACTGAGGACAACATCTGAATGCATTTCATTCCATTGTGGGCCATCAATTTATTAAGAGGTCATCTAGAAGGTGGGCCCTCTGACAAACCACATACTGCCATGTACTGCATTAGGGGCTGTGACCAGGCTCTGGCTACCTCACTACCCAAGGCCAGTCTGCTCTAAGGGCCCCTCTCCTGCTGAGAGTGAGGTTAGAGGCAGGCAGGCGTGTGAAAGTGCTTACTAGGTTTGGCTCACTGAAAGCAATCACACTGTAAGCAAGTTTGGACCACAATATAGTGAGTGGGTCTGGAAGGGAGAGGTTCTGGAAGATGCCCCAACCTGCCAAGTAGCTACTACAGTGAGAAGAATGGGCACTTAGAGCCTTTGCAGCCAGGGGCACTTGGGAATTGGGAAGGAGATGACATGAGTGGAAGAAAGGGCTAAGTGGGGGCTGACTGGGACCAGCTTTAGGAAAAGGAGAGGGGTACCTGGGCTCCTATGACAAAGTATGATGGGCCAGCTCCACAGTCCCCATCATCTTGGGGTCACTGCCTCAGAGCCCTGATGTGTTGGGGCTGGGGAGCCTCCTGCCTGGGCATGGGGCAAGACCTCGACTCTGTGTTGGCACCATGCAGACTCCCTCGGCCTGGTCCTGGTGATTGGCTGTGCTAGCTGGCCACACTTCTCCGCGGGATGCAGCCTTCCATCTCCAGTGCCTCAGGCCAGCCCTCATACTTGTTGGTGTGCTTACTGTTCTTCACATGCTGTGAGATGGAGGGAGCAAGAAGTCATGGTCTGGCACTTAGGGACAGGGGACAGAAGTGGGCCAGGACTCTGGCCTTTGTGTTGTAGACCACCTGTGTGCTCTCCAGGCACTGGTTCCCTCCCTCTGCCCCAGGAAAAAATGACAACAGCTGTAATGACCTATTCCCTTGCAGGCAGGCAGCTTGGGGGTGAATTTCTATGTACTTTTATGGGCTTGGAGGGGAGATAATACGTGTGTACCCCACCATAAGGAGTTATCAGAAGCTGTACTGAGAACAAGGCCACAGGGACATTTTATTCCCATGGGGAAGGGGGCAGCTTGAGCTATCTTTTTGTTAGCCAGAGCCTTGTAGAAATTTGTGTCATAAAGATCAGACCTTGGGGCTGGAGCTATAGCTCAGTGGTAGAGCACTTGCCTATCACGTGTGAGAGTGCACTGAGTTTGATCCTCAGCACTACATAAAAATAAATAAATAAAACAAAGGTGTTCTGTTCATCTACAACTAAAAAAAATATTTTAAAAAGAGCAGATCTGGGGATGCTGTGGCTTTTGCTGGACTGGGAACCTCCCACAGATGAGGATGGTGACTGGGGCTCCTTCTCACCCAGCCCCAGCACAGGGCCTGACATGTGGACTCAAGAGGGCAGCAAGGATGTATGGTGTGGATTGGGGATACTGGGTTTTGAGAGAACTAAGACAGTACTGAGCATCATGAAGGTGTTGGGAGGATGGTTTCTTAGCTATGAGTCTTGCCACTGTGCAAACTTTGCCATTTAAAGACCTTTTAGGGTGCAATGCACATAGGATAGGGAAGGTCAAAGTTACTGCTCCTCCTTGTGCAGAAGGCAAATGGGCCAGGGCCACCCAGGGACAGATGGGGGACAGGGCTATTGTCTGTTTGCTTAGGGCCTAGCTGGAAAAAATTCAGGGTAGGCTGTGATGTGAAGAGATGGGGTGGCCAGGCTTCCAGGGCTAGGAGGCAGAGGTGCTGAGTTCTCTGCTGTACCTGCTCAAAGGGGCTCTTGTTCTGCACACCCTTGGCCCCCACAAACACCCAGCTGTCGCGGAAAGCTAGCTCCTTGGCATTCCTGCTGCCCAGCTCACTGAAAAGCTTCCTGGTCTCTTCATTCATCCTAGCACACAGAAGAAGAAATGTGAGTTGTGAGCTGTCACTGTAGAGAGACAAGACTGAGATTGACCATGACACTCACTTACTTGGTGGCTGGGTCGTCGTAGGATGCCACAAACACCAAGGTACCTTCATGTAGTGGCCGAATGAACTTCAACAGATCATTGACATCTGGAGGGTGGCAGAAGGCAGGACCCACTGAGCACCCCTTCTCCCACCAATCCTTGTTCTCTAACTGATAAAACCCAAGTAGGGATTGGCCCCTGGATGTGCCAATGTACAAATGTACAGGGACAAATTGGTAAGGAAGCCGGGAACATCCTATTACAAAAAACATAGCCTCTGGACAGAGGTAATGATCTTTCCCCTCCTGCTGCCTTTTGGGAACCCAGGCAAGTGCTTGAAAAGCCCAAGCACATGGACACAGGGGAAACTCACCCAGTCATTTTTTGTCAGTGAAGAAGTAGGAATCTTTGACAGCCACTCACCTCCAGCCCACATGTCGAAGGCACGGGCCTCAATGAGCTCACCGCTGACCCCTGCATTGAGAGGAGGAAAGGAGTCTTCCTGGGTGAGCTGCCCGCGTCACTCCACTCTACCACCTTGGCCCTCAAAACACACTCAGAACACATTGGATGGGGAGGTGGCAACTGGGATTAGCCTTTCTGCAAGTTTTTCAAACATTCTCCTATTTATCCCCTTGTTGATAGTTGTAGCTCACTCAGAATTGTAGAGCCTCTGCCTGGCATCTGAGGCCCTCCAGGGGCTCCCATGAAGTGCCCTTCAAATCCCTGGACCCTTCTAGTTCTTCAATGTTATCATGCTTTGGTTCATTGAGTCACACAGACCCCTTCCCAGACCTCCCTGAGAGTTCCTAGAAAGAAGGGTCAGGAAAAACACCCAGAAGCCGCCCAGGGAGGAAATGCACAGAGTGCAGGACATGGCATGGCTTCTACCTCTTTGGTCTCAACTCTGACCCCAGAGCATGGGGAACTCACCATTCACCAGGGCAATGTTCAGCCCACGGCCCACGTTGTCTTTGACACTGCTCATGAGCCTAAAGGGATGGAAGACTTCCAGTGGGCACATCTGCTCCATTCTTCCTTGCACAGCCCTCAGCCCTTGTGGAACCAATCTCAGTTCCACCAGCCCACTTCCCAAACCCCATGTATCCCAAGGAGCTCACATCTTGTCCTCGAGGCAGATCTTGGGTCCGATGACGTTGGCAGCCCCACTGACCATGCGGAAGGCTAGGTGCTCCTCAGGACATGGCTGGGGCAGGCCACACTTGTACTTCCTGGCCCGTGGTTCTGAGCAGGGACAGCAGGTATGACCCATGGGCCTGGCCCTGGTGTCACCTAAGATCTGAGTGGGGAGGTCAGGACCAGCCATAGGGTCAAATAAGTGACCATATAGCAGGGAACTCAGTGGGGGTCATGGCTCAGGCTAAGGCCAGGGACACTTCATGGAAACTCTGTTCTGCTGGCAAGGTGACAGGGACTCAAGGAGGCTTTTCTGCGCTACTGGTGGGAGAAAAGAAAGGAGGTCAAGGGCCCTTACACAGCCAGGAACAAAGCAGGGGTGGAGAAAGTTAGGTTGGGGACCCAAATACATACACAGGGTACACAGCTAGACCAAAGTGGTAGAACTACAGCAGGTGAGGAAAGCATAGGGATCTGCTAGTCTGATTTCCATAGGGTGAGGATGGGTGAACAGCCTGTTATGGGTTGAGCTGTGTTCCCACACAAGACAAGTTGAAGCCCTGACTCCAAGTACCTCAGAATGTGGCCTTGTTTGGAAATAAGGTCTTTATAGATAAATTAGTTAAGATGAGATCATACTGGAGTAGGTTGAGTCCTGAATGCAACATGACTGGTGTCCTTATAAGGATAACAGACAAAGGCACAGTGAAGGAGGCAGCTGTATGAAAATGGAGGCAGAGATTAGAGTGACATAGCTACAAGCTTTGTTGATAACTTGATTTCAGAGTTTTGGCTTCCAGAACTGTAAGAAAATACATTTCTGTTGTTTAAGCCACCAACTTTGTTATACTTTGTTATGGCAGCCCCAGGGTATTGATGTAGATTTTGGTACCAGGAAGGAGGGTGCTTATGTGGCAAATACCTAAACATGTGGAAATGGCTTTGGAGCTGGGTGGTGGGTATACGATGTAGAATTTTGAGGTGCATGGTAGAAAGGGCCTAGATTGCCTTTAAAAGATTGTTGGTAGAAATATGGACCATAAGCTGTGGGTGGTGTTACATGTCTGTAATCCCAGAGACTCAGGAGATTGAGGCAGAAGAAGCACAAGTTTGAGGCTAGCCTCAGCAATTCAGCAAGGATCTAAGTAACTTAGCAAGACCCTGTCTCAAAAAAAAATAAATAAATAAAAAGGCTGAGGATGTAGTTTAGTGGTAAAGTGCCCTGTTTTAAATCTCATCCCCCCCAAAAAAGAAAATGGATTATAAAGATGATTCTGATAAAGGCTCAAAAAGACAAGAGAGCTACAGAGAAAGCTTCTATTGTCTTAGAGAATGTATATGTCATCACAAACAAAATGTTGTTGGAACTATGAACATTAAAGTTACTTTTGGCCTGGGCATGGTGGTGCACACCTATAATCCCAGCTATTGTGGAGGTTGCAATATGAGCGTCACATGTTCTAGGCCAGCCTGGGAAACTTAGAGAGACCCTGTCTCAAAATAAAATTTAAGGACTGGGGTTGTAGCTCAGAAATACAGTGCTCGCCTAGCACATGCGAGGTGCTAGGTTTGATCCTCAGCACCACATAAAAATAAATAAATAAAATAAAGGTATTGGGTCTAATCAGAACTAATAAATAAATAAATTAAATAAAACTTAAAAAAGAGCTGGGGATGTGGCTTAGTGGTAGAATGTGTGAGGTCCTGGGTTCAATCCCCAGCTCTAAAATTTAAAAAAATGTGCTTTTGGTGAAGTCTCAGAGGGAAATAAGGAACATATCACTAAGCATTAGAGGAAAGGCCATCCTTCTCATAAAGTGGCAAAGAACTTGGCTGTCTTGTGGTCTAGTGTCCTGTGGAAAGGAGAATTTGGATATTTAGCTGAGGTGATTTCTAACAAAGTTGAAGGTGTGGCCTGGTTTCTCCTTGCTGCTTACAGTGAAGTGAGAGCAGAGAGAGAAATTGAGGAAAGAATTGTAAACCATGAAGGAACAAGAATATAAAGGTTTGGGAAATCAGCCTAATCATATTGCAAAATGAGAAAGCATCCTCTAGAGAGAATACCAAGTGTATGTGGCTGGCCAAGCATTTGCTAAAGAGATGAGGTGGGTAGCCTGTGGGTACACTCCATCCTTTCAGAAATCCGGACTTGAAATGTGGTTTTCTAGGTAGGATCTGTGGAGAAATCTCATCTTATAACTTGGACCCTCACGAATTGTACAAAAGACCAAAAATGGTTTTGTTAGTATTTTATACCAGCAGAAATACTGACAGTCTGAACTGAAAGGGACAGGTGATTCTGAAGACAGACCTGGGGATGCAGAGGTCAGAGAGGGTACAAAACCAGACAGTGAGAACATGTCTTGTTCCAGAGGAGAGGGTTACCCCAGCAGGCCCAGAGAGTAGAGCATCAGACCATAGAGTATTCTTAGGCCTTGAAACCTTGCCTGCTGGGTTTAGGGTCTTCTTGGGATCAGTGATTCTTTTTTTTTTTTCCTCAAAATTTATCCTTTTTGGAATAGGAATGTTTACTGTAAACCTGTCCCACCACTGCTTTCTAGCAGCAGGTAAGTTGTTTACTAGGTTCACAGCACAGCTGGCTATGATAGCTAGTTTGGGGAGGGAGTGATGGAGAGCAGAAATGCTGGGGGACTAGGGGAAGCAGGGGTGTTACAAAGGCAGTTTGAGGGGCAGGAAGAGGGGAGAAGCTGAGAGGTAACTGAAACCTTACCTGCAGTCACAGAGCTTTCTGGGCCTGTGGGTACAGAGAATTGTTTCTGTTAGCATGGAGGCCTCCAAGAGCCTACAGCAGGGCAGTGAGGCTCAGGGGCCAGGGACTAAGCCAGGTTGCCCTGGGCATGCTCTCTGCTTATGCCTAAGGGATATTCATATGCAAAACTTAACACCATTTCTGCTCCAGAAAGAGGGTGAATTGGAATTGTAAAGAATGGTCAGGTGATGTATCACCAGTCACCTTCCCCATCTCAGAGCCCAGCAGACAGCCTGTAGGCATCAACCAGGGTGTCATTCCCAACTTTTAGTGGAAGCTTTCTCATCCCTTACTCTGACCTTACTAACTCCACTGGACACATGACTATAATTAGTGGGTGTTGCTTTCCTAGCTGAAGCTCCTGATTGGTAGGGGAAAGGATGCATTTGGTCCCAGGAGGTAGGCTGAGGGCAGCCAGAGGCACCCTGTGGGGGAGGGGGTGGAGAACCCAAGTTGCCTGCATCCCACCCTGGGCATCTGTCCCAAGACCAGGAGGCCACCCTGGGGACCTCTGCAGTGAAGCAAGGGAGGGTCCCACACTCACTGTTGAAGAGTTGCTGGATACGAGGAAATCCGCTGCCAGGCCCACCCAGGAGGATGCTGACTATGATCCAGGTAAGACCCACAGTGACAACTAGGGCCACGACGCGAAGCGGGCCTGGAGGCAGGACAGACACGGGACAGGCCTACCTCAGATGCTGGTGACCTCTGGAACCATCCCATGACCCCTCATGATGAGATGTCCCCTTCTGCTTGGGAAGAAGTGACCAGAGGATGGGAAGGTGGGAACTGACCCCATCCAGCAGGCCCAAGAGGGAAACTCAAATTCCCTGGCAGGTGGACGGATGAAACTGACTTCAAACTTCCAGGCTGCCCTGGAAAGGTTTCCTTGGAAGGTTTGGAGGGGCTTTTCAGAATTCAAGTGTTTTAGAGGACTCCAAGGATTCTCTTCTAGGACTTCCCTCAGCTTTTTGCCTTTGAGACCACCAATGGATACCTTTGAGACAACCAAGGTGTTTGTGCCCCACCCATCTGCCACCCTTTTCTTGTTCGCAAGTGCGTGCGTGTGTGCGTGTGCGCGTGTGTGTGTGTGTGTGTGTGTGTGTGTGTGTGCGTGTGTGTGTGTGTGTGTGTGTGTGTGTGTAAGGGAGAGATGCTGAGGATCAAACCCAGAGATTGTACATGCTAGGCCAGAGCTGTGCCTCTGAGCCACATGTCTAGCCTCTTTCCTCCTATTCTGATGGAGGGTCCTTATGCCTTTTGAAGACCAGTCCCTTCACTCACTGCAAACTAGATCCTTGTTTCCCTTCCCTTCTCAGAGTTCTTGTAATAGGGATCTTTATCCTCACCTTCCCACATTTCAACATTGCTAATCTTAAGACTGAAAGAAGAAAAAGCTCTCCTTCAAAACCCCATCCTCATGCTATTTACCCTTGCCTTCGTTTTCTCCATCAAACTTTACTTAGTTTTTTTTTTTTTATGTGGTGCTGGGGATCACACTCAGTGCATCACATGTGATAGGCAAGTGCTGTACCACTGAGCCACAACCCCAGCCCTCCCCATCAAACTTTAAAAGTCAACTATAGGAGCTGGGGATGTAGCACAGTTGTTGATTACTTACCTAACATGTGTGAGGCCCTAGGTTCAATCACAGTCCCCCCACCCAAAAGTCAACTACAGTCTGCCTTTCCATCATCTTACCTCCCACACTCTCCACAGCCTGCTCCAATTTGGCCTTGCACCATCCCAACCAAATATTTGGTAGCCAAGGCCACCCATAAATAACTGTCATGATGTCATGCCTCCAGTCATCCATTGGCTTTAATCTTCCTTGACGTGTTAGTGGACTACTCATGCCCTCCTGATGAAAACAATTCCCTGCTGGCTTCCAGGAAAGCAGTCTCCTGACCTATATGCTGCTTTTTCTCCTGGGTTAGATGGTCTTTCTCTACCTCCCCTTAAGCTGGACAGAAGGACTGAGTGGTAGACTGCTGGTGTAGAATGGATGAGGCCCTGATCCAGGTAAGACCCACAGTGACAACTAGGTCACTGAGAAAGGGGGAGGGTAGAGAAAACTGGACAGAGGCAGCCTTCTGTACCAGGCTGCCTTCTTATCTGTATCTGTATTTTTTTTTGGGTGATTTTATCTACAGCTAGGTGTTGAATTAACAACATGTAATGATGACTTCTTGTTGTCTACCTCCAGCCCTGAGCTCTGTTGTATCTCCACCCTCCCAGTCCCTTCCTCACTACCCAGGTCCAGTTGGTAAGTACATCAAGCTGTGACCTTAGCAGATCTGAACTCCAGTTCTTAGTTTCTACTTTCCATCTTATCCCAGCCTGTCCTTCCATAAGGCATCTTTATCTTAGTTGATACCAGAGCTGTCATTTGGGTTCATATCCAACCGTACAGGCAGCTTTGTCAGTTTTTGTTTAAGAGTAGACCTCTCCATGGGTACTCTGCACCCTTCTGCACCCCGCTGCCATGCTCTCTGGAGCCTCTGTCACAACTCATTTTCCAAAAAGCAGTCGGCTTGTTATCTGAGTTGGGTGAAATTTATATTATCCTTTATCTCATAGTTTGGGAAGCTGAAGTCCTCAGAGGTGAGGATTTTTCTCAAGGTTACCGAATAAGTGTTTGTTCACAGTCCTCCATTTTCTCAACCAACCCCAGTGGTTCACCCGGACCCTTCCTGACACAGATATCGGGACACCTGGGCCTTCCTCCCGTTCGCCGTGGAAGCCACCCACCTGCCAACCTCATGTCCACTTCTCCCGCTGGGTTGGGACCGCCGGCAGGTGCACTGTTTGGGGACAGTGCGCTCTGGGGGGAACAAAGGAGAAGAGCAGGTTTGGGCAGAGGCCGGGGGCAAGTCTGTCCCGGGCCTCTGCTGGGGGGGGCAACACAATCGGTGTTATGTTGTTTCTCAAACCAGTCCTGAATGTGTCCAGGAGGGGCGTCGGGAACCCGCTGGCAAACAGAAGCCTCCGGGACTGGGGCGCAGAAGGTGTCTCGGACTCAGGTCACTCCCGAGAGAAACTCGGGGCTAAGGCTAAGGCCATTCCTCCCGAGGCTGGGACGGCGACCGGGCTGGCCGGGGACTTGCCTGGCCGTGGGAAGATGTGGGCCCGGTCAGGGAATGCCCCGTTGGGCCGGTGCCCGGCTCTACCCAGGGAAGAGAAGAAGCTGCGCAGAGGAACCGGCAGGCCTGGCAATGGCGGCCGGGGGAGGGGCCAGAGCTCGCAGGCACCGCCCGCCAGGGGCCATGAGGGAGCCACAGCCCCGCGCAAGCTCCACCTCCAAAGCCGCCAAGAGGGAGGAGCCGGTATCTACCCCGCCCCCTCCATGCTGACGCCGCGTCCCGGGGTCTCCCTTCAGACCATCCTTGGGTGGGGGAAACGACCTTTCTGAGTTGGTGCGCTAGCGCTCCCCTCTGTTTGTTCCTTGAGGCTGTCAGTTATCCGAGATCTGGGTGTATTGACGACCTGGACATTAGAAATTGTTGTAACGTGCCACAGGTACCATATGGGGGAAAACAGAATCCGACAAGCTTGAACCAACCAGGGTAAGCCTTTGGATGCCTTTCCTTCCAGTCTGCATTCTGTCTAGAAGTGCGTTCCTTCTGCTTTACGTATCAGTCAGTTTGACAAGGGCATCTGAAAAGCGATTTCGACACATTTGAAAGCTCTTGCCTACTCCAGCCTGAACTCTCTGTCCTCAACTGCGCCCTGATCACTGTGAGGGCTGGGACTACTCTGTCAGCTGTTCCCATCTGTCTGGAAAGCAGCAGCTGGGCAGAATCAAAACAATATCCCTAACCTTTGACCCGGTGGTCAACTTACAGGACCTCCTTCCTTAGGAAATAATCCAAAATACAATTTATAGAACCAGGCATGACACTACTCTGGTTAGAATCCAGTAGATTCTAGTTTGACATACACAACACACTCTCATACACACTTCTCACAAACATGATCAAAGTGATCTATTTTAGCAGTCAGTCTTCTCTGATGGTCATAGATTTGTATTTGGGCTTTGTCACCAAATTTGGTGGCCTCTCATTTTTTTTTAAAGAGAGATAGAGAGAATTTTTAATATTTATTTTTTAGTTCTCGGCGGACACAACATCTTTGTTGGTATGTGGTGCTGAGGATCGAACCCGGGCCGCACGCATGCCAGGCGAGCGCGCTACCGCTTCACCCACATCCCCAGCCGGGCCTCTCATATTTCTCTGGTACCAAACATTGGACCTTATGGTATCCTCAGTGGGGCCCAGTACAAATAGCTGTCAGTTATGTACATCCTTGAACCAACAACAAGGCCCAAGGCACCTGCAGACCAGTAGTTCCTAGATAATAGTGTTTATACCTTGCCTGCAGCACACAAGGAAAAGTTGATTTAATGAGTCCTCTGAGGGTCCAGACACAACTCCCCCCTTCCCTAGGGACACCACACAAGTGATATGCATTGAAGGACAGCCTGCAGGAGTCCCTTATTTTCTCTGGGACTTCTTTTTTGGTGCTGGGGATTAAATCGAGGACCTATATAAGTTGCTAAGCATATACTCTACCACGGGACAGCAACCCAAACCCTAGGACTGTTTCCTGATGTGCATACAGAAGGAAGTTACACTTGAACCCCATAGCTCTTCACCCTATCCACCCTGCTTGGTGCTGACCATTGTGCTACATAGAACACATATGCCCTGTCCATATTCCAGCTTTTCCTGTTAGGACTCTTCAGTCCCCATGAAGGTTGACAGACTGAGTGACACTGTCATTTATCATTCAAAGTCAGCATTTGGCTCAAGACAGTTCCAACAGTTCTTAAATAGCACACAACACAAAATGGGAGTGGGAAGGCTGTGACGGGTGTCTCTAGACCTGTTAGGTGTTCTTTTGACAATTTTATGCAGAAGAAAAAAAGTATGCAAACAATTGAATAATGTTTTGGGGATACCTGCTTAGGAGAACATAAAATGGATATAAACTTAAAGAGAAAGGGCTGAAGCCTCCACCAAAGAGAGCAGAGACTGAGTCCTCAACAAACAGAATCTTTTTCAGTTGTTGGCCAATAGGATGTCAGCAATTCTGAGGCTTGGGAAGAGGAGAATGACATTGAGGGTACAATTAGAAAAAAGGAAGTTTGGACTGACACATACCATAAGATAATAAGTGTACAGAAACATAAAATAATACTATATATATTTGTATTGGAATTAAATATATATAACATAACATTTGACAATGTAAATATTCAATTATACTTTTTGTTGTTAGTGCTGGGGACCAAGCCTTGTGTATGCTAAGCATATGCTATATACCACTGGGCTATACCCCCATACCTTAGTTATTTTATTATTTATTTTTGGGTGCTGGGGATTGAACCCAGTGGTACTCTACCATTGAGATACATACCCACCTCTTTATGTTTTACTTTGAGATAGGGCCTCCCAGGCCTTGCCCAGACTGGCCTCCAATTTGTGAATTGCCTACCTCAGCCTCCCCAGTCACTGGACAACTATAATGTCTTAATTCTTTATTTTTTTTCATTTCAAAGTAATTATACACTTATAGAAGTTGCAAAAACGGTGCTCTTGTAGCTCCAGCTTTCCTCAGTGGTGATATATATAGCTATAGTACAGTATCACAACCAGGAATAACACATTGGCACATTACTGTTGACTAGAAAATAGACTTTTTTTTAATACTACTGAGGATTGAATCAAGAGCATTCTTCCACTAAACTACATCTCCAACCTTTTTTAAAAAGTTATACATATACACAATATCTTTATTTTGTTTATTTATTTATATGTGGTGCTGAGGATCAAACCCAGGGCCTCACACATGCGAGGCAAGTGCTCTACTGCTGAGCCACAACCCCAGCCCTCTAGCCCTTTTATTTCTCCTCCTCATCATCTTCATTTTTGGTACTACGGATTGACTGGGTCTTACTAAGTTGCTACGGTCTTCCTCAGTTGCTGAGGCTGGCCTTGAACTTGTGATCCTCCTACCTCAGTGTAGGAGGGATCATTGGTGTGCATCATCATGTCCAGCTAATTATTATTACTTTGGGGTACTGGGATTGAACTCAGGGACACTTTACACTGAGCCGAATCCCCAGTCCGATCTTTTATTTTATGTTGAGATAGGGTCTTTTTCTAAAAAAAAAATTTTATAACTTTCTTTTCTTTTTTTTTTTAAAGAGAGAGTGAGAGAGGAGAGAGAGAGAGAAAGAATTTTTAATATTTATTTTTTAGTTCTTGGCAGACACAACATTTTTGTTGGTATGTGGTGCTGAGGATGGAACCCGGGCCGCACACACGCCAGGCGAACGCGCTGCTGCTTGAGCCACATCCCCAGCCCCTTATTTGTTTTTTTAATGTGGTGCTCAGGATCAAACCCTGTGTGCCTCAGCTGTGCTAGGCAAGGGCTCTACCATTGAGCCCCAGTCCCAGCCCCAGGGATGGGGTCTTTGTAACATGCTGAGGCTGGCCTCAAGTTTGTAACCCTCCTGCTTCAGCCTCCCAAATTGCAGGAATTACAGCTGTGCACTACTGTACATAGCACAGTAGACTACTTGTCCAGCATGTGCAAAGGCACTGGGTTAAAGTCCCAGCCCTGCAAAAAACAAAAACATCAGAAACGGATTTAAGTCTGTGTTCTAAGCCTGGTGCACTGATGTACACCTGCAATCTCATTTGTTTGGGTAGCTGAAGCAGGAAAATCACAAGTTTGAGATCAACCTGCACAATTTAATGAGACCTTGTCTCAAAATTTAAAAATAAAAGGTGTGGGGATATAGCTCAGTGGAAAAGCACTCAATCTCCAGTGCTTTTCCACTGAGCTATATCCCCATTTCAATAATAATAATAATAATAATAATAATAATAGTAGTAGTAGTAGTAGTAGTAGTAGTAGTAGTAGTAGTAGTAGTATTTGTAGGAATAATTTGAGGTCTAAGGAGGAAGGACTATTTCTCCCAAGATGGTTCACTTGCTTCTGCCAGGCCCCAGGGGTCCTGTTCATCTAAGACCCTCTTAAACCAAGTGAAAGGTTCAAGGTTCTCTGGACACCCCAGGCAGTTTGAGCCCTGGTTCTGTTGTTGTTCTGGGCTTAGTCTCACCCTGACAGTGTAGCCATTTGGGCCCTTAGGATTTGATATTTTTCATGATTCGGTTGCTGACCCCTTCACTTTATAAGGCTGTCAAGGAAAAGTTTATGGGCAAATGCCTTAGGGCAAAGGCAAGTGTGTGGGGGCGCTAATTTATATCACTGAGTTCTAGTTTTCTCTGAACATTTGGCCTTGTAAATTCCTTCCTTATGGAAAGCCAGAATGTAGTTAGCTCCTTGTTTCTGCAAAGATTCCTTGAAGCATTGAAGTGAAGCAAAGGGTGAAGCTCTAGGAGGCAAGAGACCTGTACCAGGGCCTCCTCTCTGGTCCTGGGGTGTGGCCCTGGGATAGTCTGATCAAGTCTCAGAGCTTCAGTTTCTGAGTTTCTCCTTTTGTTGTATAAGAAAGATGATCTCTTCTGGATACTTGAACTTAGTGAACTTGGAGGATAAAGCCCCACCGCCATTCGTGCCCTTTTCTCTTTTCTTTCCTCCTGTCCTGCTTTAAAAAAATTTTTTTAGATGTTGATAGACCTTTATTTTATGTATTTTTATGTGGTGCTGAGGATTGAACCCAGTGCTCACACATGCTAGGCAAGCGCTCTACCACTGAGCTACAGCCCCAGCCCCATGCCCTGCCTTCTTTACTTTCTACTCTATGGGGGCAGGCAGGGGCATGTGCAGATCCTCTCCATCCCTGCCATCTGTGGCTCAGCCACTAGCAGTGGGCTAGGTTTAGATTAAGGGATGGAGTGAGTGGGAGTTTTCAGTGTTCTTTTGTCTTCTCATTTTGCCAGAGCTAGTACCCCAGCACGGCAGACTTCCCTTGGTGTGAGTGTGGGAAGTCAAGCTTCCTGTTCCTGGGACTCAGTCTGAAGGGGTCAGGGTACCTTTGAAATTCTCATCCAGCTCAGTACTTTGCAAGTCTAGGCTAGGAAGTTGAAGTTACCTTGTCTGAGGTAGGAGTCTAGCACGAAGGCCTGTCTAGCTCCCACCCATGATGTTGAAGGACAGGAGAAAAAAAAAAGGGAACATGTAAAAAAAAAAAAAAAAGTGAAAAAAAGCAACGAGACACCGGGCCAGGCCCTCTGAAGGAATGAGAAGCAGAGTGTTGACATTAAATAGAGAGAAGGGTGGA